TGTCATCCACCGTTTTTATTTTCTTTCTTTTTAAAAGTTTTCTTCCTTCTTTGCGTATTTCTTTTTTCTTTTTATATTATGATCAAGCGTTATCTGGAATTTAGTTTCGCAGTTCATGCAACTTTTCCGGTCCTTCGGCTTATCACATTGATAAAATTTCTCCACTCAGGCAAAACGTGAGATTGGCCGATGCGACGGTTTTGAGTTTCTTTTAATGTTGGTGGCTAAATGGAAGAGTTGCTGCGGCACGAAATTTTGGAATAATTGATGTGCCTTCTTTTCATTTTCTTATTTCAATGACATTTTGTCTTTTATCGGATTGGAAATAAGTATACATTATATTTTATAGAGTGGTTTAATAAGGTTCCTTCTTACGATAATCTTCTAAGATTTCGAAAAATGAGAAGTTGTATTTGACGGCATAGGATTTCTTAATTGTATATTAATGAAGAAGTTGCATGATATCCATTGCTCTCCCTCTTTGAATTATTCTATGCTTTCTTTAGCGTGATACCCGAGCCTCAGGTATTGCCATTTTTGGAGTCACATGATGTTACTCATATCCGTTGGGTGACTGTAAGCGAATGTTATTGTAGGCGGTGCATGAGAATAAAGTAACCATGAAAAGGATATGAACAATGTAAATGATATTTAGACCTGGCTGCGGTGAATCTTGTACAGAGCGTATATCCGGCGTTTCCGAAATACAGGAAGTCTGATGTGCCTCAGTGATCCCCTTAAAAAATAATAAATAAAAAAAAAAAAAAAAAAAAAAAAAAAAAAAAAAAATCTGAAATGTTTCAGATTTTAAATTACGTCCAAAGGGGCGTTTTTTAACATTTTGTGTGTTACCTTTCTTTATTAAATATCATGTTCCTCGCACTTAAACCATAAGATCCAGTGCAACAGCAATATCGCAAAATAGTTTTAAAACGAGCATATCTTTAGAATTTCCGATACAGAGACTCACGCGCTGGAGATAAAAATGTTTTTTTCTGCACAACGTTGCCATTGCTCGCTTTGAAATCCTTGAGTTTGTTAATCAAAAATTCGTCAAAGTTTTAAAAAATAGGAAATCGATCATAAAACAAATTTCAAATTTGGTCTTCCACATGCTCATATTCGTTGGAGGATTACGTTATTCAAAATTCGATGACTCTATGTACCGTTGTTTTATCACAATACGAGAAATATACATACATTTATGCAGATTTTTCATTATTTAATTTCTTCAAATATAATGCAGGACTCTAACATTTTGTGGCAACAGTTTGAAAAGTGAACCGACATTTATGAGTCCGACGCAAAATGCCAAAACGAAACTAATAGTCCTTCGGGATTCAAATCCCTTTGGACTAATAAATAATTAAATATAAAGAAAGAGTTGCACCTTTTGAACTAACATGCAGTTCGGCAATTATAAAAGTGAAATTTCCGTATGAAAATTTTGTGATTAAATTCACTCTGGTTTCTGTCGTGGTTCCTCCGTCGTTCTTCGTAGTTGCATCTCTTCTTCATTCGGCAAAAAAGAAGCATATTTTAAAAAATGGTTGTAGATTCATTAGGTTATTCTGAAGCAGGAGATGTGAGAAATGAGCAATGCCTTCGTCGGAACTCGAACCTCGGACCTCTCGAATACGCGCCGAGTGTGCTGACCATTACACCATGAAGGCATGCTAAGAAGGCGGGAGAAACGTCTTATAAGGTTACAATGTGCGAAAAACAATTGTGTATTTATTTCATTACCTGTTGTTTAGAAATCATGAGCTCTCTAGCCCGCCCACTGTCCCACCACTGGCCGAGCGGTTAGACTGCTAAAATATTGGTAGTTTATCAGATAGCCCTCGTATGCTTTGCCGTATTCAAATAATCTAATTTAACCTACGCTTATTAGTTACCGAATGGTGAGACAGATAAACATGAATATTTTAACTGGATTTAAGCCCTACCAATTACAGAGTGGTTAAAACTGCTGAAAACTAATAGTTTGACCTGTGTTGAAGCGCAGGGGAACAAGCTGATTTAGTGTGATTTTTGTGGTTTTCATCATGAATATGAGCCAGTTTTGCTTCGAAAACTCTATCGAGCGGTCGACATGGGCGTTTCTCCATGTGTGACATATATACAAGCGAGTTTGCCTTAGAAAGTTCTCATTCAAGGCGTCCTACCCTTTAGGCAAACAGCCGTCTTATGCTGCCATATTCAAATAACCTATCCTAATCAATGGGTTCAAGCCCCGATGGTTGGCTTGGCTGCATTGGCGTTTTTAGGGTTTTCCTAATATTTGTGGCAAATGCTGAGCAGTTTCTCCGCAAAAGATCTTCTGCAAAGACATCTCTTCCTTTAGATGGCTAATTCTCGTAGGCTTCTTTAAAAATTAACCTAACGGAAACATTTGTTTAACTTTTTCACTCATGTTATTTATTATACATCTTAAAAAACTTAGTTTTGCATCGCAAGAATAGGGATGTAAGATATTTATGGTACTCGTATTAAATTTTAGCTTGCCCCCTGCTAGCTTTTATCATTAATCTTTTTCGGGTTATACTCACTTGCTCGTACAGTGAAACCTTGGTTCACGAACTTAATTTTTTCCTGAAATCCATGATAGGAAATATTCTTAAACTGAAATAATTTTCCCCATAAGATTTAACGTACAAGGAATTAAACTATTCCCGGATTCCAAATAATATCATAGAAGAGAGTACTTTGACTGTAAGTTCATGAAAAAAAAAAAAAAAAAAATGATGTAGTTCATTAAAACTGATCTGTGCAATATTTAACACGCTACTAAACGTATAAAAAATAGAAAACCTGAATTAAATTATACCGTATCTCTACGAAAGAAAGTTGAGAAAGTAGGCGTAGGGTGGGCGTAATTAGCAAATGCTAAAAAACCAAGGTTGCAAAATTTTATTATTATTATTTTTTCTAAAGAGAGAAAAGTTTTTCTGTAAAAATAAGTACTGGGTAGCTACTGACTTTATGTTCCCCCTCCCCCTCTTCCTCTTAAACCAGCGATTCTGAGGTAGCGCTAACCTTTACTTCAGAATCTTTCGGCCTTTTTCCCCATTAAAAATTTGTTCAGTATGATTTACGTCTGTTTACGTCTTAAAATGTTATATAAACCTTTCAGTATGATTTACGTCTGTTTACGTCTTAAAATGTTATATAAACCTTTGTAACTTACCCCATTTTGCACAAATTTTGAGGATTAAATAATTATTAAATAATTAGGAATGTCCTTTCTTCTATCTTCTTCGGAAATTTGATACAATTTCCTCTGTAATAAATAGCAAGTTACTAAAGCTACCCAAAGACAATGATTGAAAACATTGCTTATTTAATTCCAAAAAACGATGCTTTAATTCTTTGGAGTTTTTGAAAACAGATTATCTTTTACTGGTTAGTTTATTCTTTCTTATTTAAAAGGATTTAGTCTACTCGAGCCTGAATGAATAAGCTTACTGAATATTGTTAGTTCGATCCGGCATTACATCGTGGCAAAACGAATTATTGGTTGTGTGTTGTTTATCCGTTGTGTAATATAAAATACATATCACATTCCCTTAGAAACTCTTCTTTGAAAACATTCCTCTGTTCCTTAAGCCTGCTTTTTCTTAATCGGTCATCCTATCATAGCCTTAAAAGAATTTGACTTTTAAAGCTGAAACGCTGAAAGATTCTTACCTAAATTTTCCTTTTTCCAGTGTTGCCTAAAAAGTTAATCATAAATTTGCCTTTCATAAAATTAATTTTACATCTTACTTATTAAAATTTTAATTTAAAGGGAAAAAAGTCAGTTTTAATTTAAAGGGAAAAAAGTCAAAAGTTCCAGCCAGAAGATTCTTAATTTTAGTTATTTTAGAAGTTAATAAAGATATAGCCAGAAATTTGTTTAACATTTGAGAGGATTATTTTTATATATAGAAAAGCAGTCGAGTGCTATTTGCCTAAGGGAAGAGATGCCTTCGTGGAAGATTCTTTAAAAGGAACTTGCTCGTACTTATGTTACACATCTAAGAAATCACAAAACTCCTATGCAGTCAGCTGAGATTTGAGCACGTGTTAAATTGCAAGTTTTGAGAGTTTTTACCTCTCGGCGAATAGTGGTTGGCTATTTTAAAGCATATACTTATATATCTAAAGAAATTCGTTAAATTATTTTATTTTTAATATTTGTTGCGAATGCATTCTTAATTAATGTTCATTGCGAATGCACTGTCATCCATTAGTTAAATTTTAGTTTTACAGTTATCACTTTTGAATAATAAAGTATAACATTTTATGCTTGAGATAAGTTCAATATACCTAATGTTATTTCATTTTTACATTTGCCATTTTGATTTTTATCACCAAACTCTAGATTTGAGATGCATTGTGTATTTTATTCCTACTTCCCAGTATATAAAAATAAAATTTACCCTTTGTAAGAAGGGCAAGAACCTTAACTCTCGTATGTTATTAATGCTTATCACTCTCATCTTCAAAGAATTTTTCAAGACTGTATATTTAGCTATTCAGTTTCGCTACAGTTGAGCTGCATAACAATTACCGCACTTTCCCCTTTTCTCTGGCTTGGGGCCGAGATGCGCGTAATTTGGTTTATTATTGCATTGTGTATAGTGTTGAATTTTTTATTTTTCTTTTCTCGCTTAATCATTAATGAAATCTGTTATAAACCTCTGCTTCACGAAGCTTGTTTGGATCGGCCAACGAGCTTCCTTTCATTTGTACTGGAATCACGTTCTGCAATTTTGAAAAAAAAAAAAAAAAAATTGGATGCCTCTTTCATATTCTGTTCTGCGAGTTTCACAAAAGGAGTTCGTAGGATATTCATTCCGCGGATGAAGGGAATAGGTGTTGTCATGGCAACACCCTCTAGTAATCCAGTCGCTGAAAGTCGGTGTCATCTAGCTTCATTTCCGAAAAGAACGGCCATGAAATCAGACTCATTTAAGCAACGACCCTGAAGCCAAGCCATGACCCACTATGAGGCGTTTCTTGCGCCTGCACTTGAGAATGCTTTTTTAAATATTTTTTCTTTAACAGTTGCTCAATGAGATATTCTTTTTTTCCACTCAAGAACACTGCTCGTTTCTTGTAGAGTTCGAAAGTGCAGCTGTTGTGTTCGTTCTTGAAGTAGGTCTTGCGTATTTTATTTATTTATTTTCTTCTGTCTGCCTCTGCGTGTTTTGCTTGATAGCTTAATTGCTAATTATTTTGTGTCTCGAATTGTTCACGACCAGACGCTCATCAGTTAAAGACAAAAGCATCTTTCAATAAGTAACTTTCATTGTATGTGCCATTTTCAAGAATTTAAAGTGCTTCAAGTATTTCATCCGGAACCTTGATTTATGCATAGTGTAAGTGAAATTCGGCACACCATTCATAAGCATAAGGATACGCGAAAAGAATATCGAAAAGAGATGCATTAAAAGAAATTCATTCTGTGTGATTTGTGTTGGTGACAACGTCAGTTCCGTTGACATTTAGGTATCGGTTCGTATTTGTTGAACAACATCGCGTGCGCGAGCAGCGAATTGCATTTACGTCAATTTATCTTTCTAACATTAGAGTGAAACGTAGAAGTAAACCGGTCGTTCGACTACTGTGCCTTGGAAACCTATATCGAACCGTCTTCTCTTTTTTTTATGGAACATTTATCAAAATTCGCGCTATTCGCCGTCTTTATCTAATATTGATGCATCATATTCAAAAGATTGGCAGCAATCGATCGATGTGCTCTACATTTTTCTCGCCTACCTCATTTATTGCACGCTAGTGATGGATTGAAGCCTTTACCTGAAGGTGCTTTGTATCTTGATTCTTATAAAATACATCTACTGAAATCGAAATAAAGGAGTTCAGTGCATTGAAATTTATGTGAGTTTGACACCAGTTGTGTTTGCTTTCATCAAATCTGAATTTGCTTACTCAACTTAAATACACTTTTTAATGTTTTGTAATAACTATGGATCAGAAATAGAGTTTTTATTATGGCTATTGACTATGAAGAACCTGACAGTTTTGAAGAAATCTGCTCACGCTCTCGTTCTGTCTCAGTGCAATGCGATGACAATTTCTTATATATAGATGAGAACTTGGCTAGGTCCCGGAGTTCTTCCATATCTGGTCTTATATGGGAATGGGGTAAAAGGTAAGAGTAGATATTATTTACTTTAATGTGTACTTATTCGTGAGTTTTGAACTTTTTCATTTAAAAATGGAAAAATGATAGTCACCATTCTGTTGTGTATAAATACAGAATTATCAAATGTAATGCGAAATAAAAATATGCAATTTACTTACTCACCTTATGAAATTTTATTTAAAGCCAAAGCACTTTTTATTCTCCTCCCCTGTAGAGTTTATGGTGACTAAATTTGGCGGTATAATGAAAAACTGTTTTTATCACTTTCCTTTTAAGAGATATTTTTAAAATAGTTTTCAGTTTTGCATACTTCAGCGATAGCCATGAAGAAATATTTGATATCACCTCCCCCCCAAAAAAAAATCATCCAGACATCTTCAAAATGTGAATTTTTAATTCCTGCTTTTAAAAATGTTCCTTTGGCATTTTATAATACTGAATTCGAAGATAGTTTGAATATAGATGTCTGTGAGTGTTGACCAGTCTCAAGACAGATGTCTTACATTACATTGATTGATACATATACTATATCAGTACCTCAAAATATAAATCCTTTAATCCATTTTTTTTATTGTAAAGTTATATATTTCATAAATCTTATCCCTTACCGCGAGTTTTCTTTCCCATTAAGGAACTTAGAAATTAAAAAAAAAATATTACAGAACTAACCATGTCAATTGAAAATTCTCACGTGTTACTGAATCAAAAAGAAGCATGTGAATGAAAACTTTTTTTTTTTTTTTTTTCCAGACATCTTCAAAATGTGAATTTTTAATTCCTGCTTTTAAAAATGTTTATTTGGCATTTTATAATACTGAATTCGAAGATAGTTTGAATATAGATGTGTCTTCTGTCTGCAGCGTTAATTCATTCTTCTGTCTGGTCTTGTATGCAGTGTTTTTGAAATACTAGTCTAATTCAGCTTTTATTGTCTTTTAAATTAGTGTATGTGTACTTTTAAATTGCAAGTTAACAAATGCTATATTAACAATAAAAATAATCTAAATTTAAATAAAAAAAACCCTATGCTATTATTAAGAGTTTGTACGTGTGTCGAAATATTTTGAAATAATAGCATAGGATTTTTTTATTTAAATTAAAGGCATAAATACTGTATGCATTGTATGTCTTTATTCAAGAGCAGTAAGGGCCAATGAGCGGCCGAATGTTAAGATCGCTGAACGCTGGCAATTGACTCGGGTTCAGATCTCGACGAAGGACCTTTTGCGGTTTTTTCTATCTGTTACGTAAAATGAACAAGTTTTTCTCTTTCTTCAGGAATATAGTCTTTGTGTTTTGCCACATTCCAAATAATCTAATCTAATCTCAAGTATTCCAATTACCATAGTTATGTATTGTTAAAATAGTAAAAATATTTCCATTTGGAAAATAAAAATCTTATTAAATTTCCTTTATCATTCCTTTCAGTATTCAAGAAGGATTTTAGTTTTTTAATTTTATTATATATATAATTTTAATGATTAAGATTTATAAACGAGTTGCCTTAAGTATTATTAGCCCCATATTTTATGACTTAAATAATGTTAATTTACTTAAATTAAATTACAGTGAACCGTTTTTGGAGACCATCTTTCTAAGACGACTCTGTCTGAAAATGATCAGCACTTTTACACACATAAATATCAGCATTGAACCATCAACTGTCTAAATCAGTGGTTCTTAACCTTTTTTACTCCATGCTCGCCTTTCGCCAGCTCCAGATGTGATGACCCTTTCATCCTCGTCCTCCAGCCTTTCCAAAACTTAAATTTAGATTATTTTTATTGTGCTTTATAAATAAAGCAAGATAAAATATAGAAAACATAAAGTATAAAAAATTTGAAAGCTTTCAAATTTTATATTATCCACAAAAGAAAGTTTTTTTTTAACGTTTTGTGTGTTATCTTTATTGATTAAATATCATGCTCTTCGCACTTAAAATACATAAAATTTAATTCAACAGCAATATCACAAAATATTTAAAAAGAGCATATTAGAATTTCCGATACATAGCCTCACCGCTGGATATAAAAATGTTTTTACCGTACAGTGTTGCCGTTGCTCGCTTTGAAACCGTTGAGTTTGTTAATCAAAAATTCGTTAAACTTTTACAAAATTTTAAATAGATAATAAAACAAATTAAAAATTCGTGCTTCCAAGTGTCCATGTTCGGTTGGAGTACTACGTTATTCAAAATTTGATGGCTCTAGTTACCGTTGTTTCTTCACATTGCGGGAAACATTCATGCAGATTCTTCATTGTTTAGTTTCTTAATACACGGCGATATTTGATGGCAACAGTTTGAAAAGTGAGTCGACGCAAAAATGCAATTCTGAAATTAATAGCGCTTCTAGGCTAACGCCCTGTAGGCTAAAAATGTTGATAAATACGAAAACTTGATTAAATGTAGTTCTTTAGATTCATAAACTGAAACGAAGTACTTAAACAGGTAAATAAAAGGTTGACCGGACTCCGCTGTGAAACTACGAAATCCCCTCCAGGAAAAATGTTCCTCTGGTTGAAAACCCCTGGTCATCTTAAAAGATCAAAATTATCTAGAACCTGGATGGTCATCTTAGACTGTAAACACCACTTCCCTCTTATTTTAGTGTGTTTCTGTAAAATGTGTTGTACTAAATAAAAAATTTCGCTCGAATGCACAGACAAAGCATTGCTTTGCTAAAATGTCTGACGTTGCAGAATTAAATATTTTCTTACAGACAGAGCCGGATTTACGTATAAGCTACACCTATAGCTTAGGGCTCCCACTTTCTTGGGGGCCCCAAAAATTAAACCATAGTGTAAATAGTATTAAAATATATTATAACAGACTTATATAGGGCTCAAATAGCTTAGGGCCTTATCAAGTCTAAATCTGGCTCTGGTTATAGAGATAGACGGAAGACGAGAATATATATTCCGTCATACCATGCGAAAAAAATTCTTATCATAAGACTCCTCGATTTTATTTATGCATATTTAACCTGTTTATATGAAGTTGAACGAAGATCGCGTGCTATATTAAGATAAACTGAACAGAACTTCGGAAATTACCATCGATGAAAGGGAGGGATTGTAAACAGAAATTGGCTTTTCTCGCTATGATTTATTATTTGAGTCTAGCGAAAGCAGGCCATGCCCTCCTTTCTCTCGTTCAATGTCCAGCAGGTATTATCGAGTCACTTGATCCTGTTTTCTGTGATTCTGTAATTAAAATAATAACAATATCTGAAAAAGTATATCTGCTTTATGATTTGGGAGATCAAAGTTAATGATGAGCAAAGTAAGTACATGTGATGGTCCATGTAAGGAGCATGTGATGGTCCGTGATTTATCCAATTTAAATAGCTCTTCGGGGGGGGATATTATCAGCAATGCGCATACAATAGACTGATTCTGCAATTCTGATTAAATATCACAATATTTAAGTAGTCAGTTCAAGGAATGTTGCATTTTAAATATAGTTAAATACATTTAAAAGTAGAGATATCATGAAACATTTGTCCTCTTAAAAGCAGCTTACTTGAATTTTGTAAGGAGACTAAGCTGCTCTGAGTGCTATGGGTTTGGAAAAGTTTTAATTAAGATATTAAGTAATAATAATATACAAGTAATTTAGAGCATTATTTAGATAAATTTCTTTAATTTGGAGTTATATTTTTTAAAGAATTGACATATCAATCACTGTTAGTTTTATTCTATTAATTGTTGGTTCACTGTTAGTTTTAGTCTTCAAAGCTGTAAAACTGCACTTTGAACAGACATAAAATGCGCAAATACCTTTGCCGTTTACGATTTGTTGAGGAAGTAAGAATGGAATGAGAATTATCAGTGAGAGAAATCACTTTTCCCGGGAAAATAAAAACTGATATATATTTGTTATTAACATTTAAAAAAAAATATCGAGCGTCTAAACAAAAATGTCAATTCCGTGTAAAAATGTAAAACTAAGATTTTTTTTCATATTCAGTTTCCATTACTCAAATATTAAAAATAAAAATAATAAATCGTATAATTAATGTATTTAGCAAAAAGGTTTCATTTTGTAACATAACCACTTTTTTGGCCCCTTGAATGCGATGGGAGATGCTGTATTTCATCATGACTAGTAAAATCTTAATGTAACATAAAATCAATCGATACAAAAGTATTTTGATGGAGAAATTATATTTTGCATCAAAAATTTAATTAGAAAAGAACTCAGATTACTTCGTTTTCCTAGCAGTTTTCGTTCTTAATTTAAATTAAAATATTTTACTAGTTTGAAATCGAATAAAAAGATCATCACAAGGGGGGATAAGAATAGTAATAATAAATTAACTATAATCCCATGCAAAGATTTTTTTTTTTTATTGTTTGGGACTAAAGAGATTATTTGTAATCTCTCCTTATTGCGGAATTAGGAACTGTGTAACTGTATCTTACAGTTATTTACTGGATTATTACTGTTGCTTTAGATTGTAGCGTACCCCCAACCGCTCACCCAGAAAGACGAACTCTGCCTGATGAACCGTCAACTTTACATCGCATCTTCAGCCATATTCGTAGAAAATTCTGCTGCACAGTATTTGCAGTTCACCGACCGAAGAACAAACACTGGAGTCGCTTCCAAACGATATCAGTGAAAGTTGTTCAGAAAATATATTGTCTATTTCAGAGATAGTTACGCTATGATGTTATGCATTTTATTGTTTTCGGTCGATCCGTCAGGTATGTAAAATATTACACATATTCCCCCCTTTTCTGTTAATAGTTTCGCTTGTGAGTATTTTCAGTTCTTTGAAAATTTAAGTTCCCAAATAAAAAGCGGTATTATTCGGCTAAATGTTATACTTTTCTCTAATCGTTTGCCGTTGAATTATTTATCTTGTTAAAAAGAGCTTCTAAGTTCCGTATTTAATTAAAAGAAAATGTAGGAATTGTGGAAATTTTGATCGTTATAATTTCGCTAAATACCTAATTTGAGGATTTAAAAATTGTAATTATTTTACGGTGTACGTGGGAGCATGCGAAACAAATATTTAAGGGGGAAAAAAGTAAAGAATAAAATGAAAAATCAAATAATAGTTGCATCAACTTTTCGTTTCCACAATTATCAGCTTTTGGTTTATATCAACCATTAACTGCTGATTTATATTTATCTTTAATTTGAATTAAAATGTTTCTTTTTGAAATGTTTATTATTTCATTCGTGTATATTTCTTTATTCGAGTTGTAGTTACACAATAGTGCATTATTAGCCTCCAAAAATGCGTTCTTAATTGCCAATTTTTCCCCAATAGCACACTTTTGCATTCTAAATTTCATTTAATTTCCTAGGAGATAATTTCCTTTATTTTCTATATTACTATATTGAATTATATTTACGTTCCGACTTTTACTTCACTTTGAAATTTACATATTGTATATATAATAGAATATATAATCACTTTAAAATTATTATATTATATATATTATATATATATAATTTATATATGCTTTTTATGCTTTCTGGTCATAAATTGCATGAACTGAGGCATTTTATTTTCAAATAAAATATTAATTTCGAAATAAAAATATTTTCTACGACAGTAACTAGAAAATAATCTACAGTACAATAGTAGTTTTTTTTAAAATAAAAAGAGAGCGAATGTTTGAAATGATTTGAAGGACTTTGTGTTTGAATGATATTTAATAATATAAGTACACTAGAAAAGTCTACAGTAAATAGTAGTTGCTATAAAATAAGTAGAGTGAATGATGAATTCGAATGTTTGAATTTGAATGATTTGAATGTTAATCAAATTGTTTTCTCTTATTCTTTAATGAAGTTAATATCTTTTAGTTCTTTACAATTGCTTTGAATATTGTTGAGCTTGCTTTAGAAATTTTTTGTCTTAAAGTTCTGACTTTAAATAACTATATATTTCTGTCTGAATGATATTTATAATAATAAGTGAGTCATTTGACATGCAATAATTTTAGAAAAAGGGGGGGAATAGTATTAGGATTTCTATGCCGTGTGTGTTTCTTGTACTTCTGACGAATGTGTGAATTCTCATTTTCCCTAACTACCTGTAAATTAGGAGTAGGGTATAGTTAAAAGCGCAGTTGCAGTGTATCTGATATAAAAATTTTTTAGATTATTCTACAAGTATTTTTCCAGCTAATTTTATTGAAATATCTATATAATTTCATTCATAAGATTTCTTCCCGCATGATCTGATGTTTAAGAATATCGAATCGCTTTCCAGAATATTAAATTGATTAAATTTCTCAGGTACTTTTAATTATATTTATTTTAAATATCTTTTGAATTATTCGCCAGGTAAGCAGTTTTTAATTACCAAAAATTTAGCCAGTGTAGATGAAATAGCTTTGAATGTTTATTAATGATACTTGATGAAACAATAGCTTTTGTTGGTAAATATTACTAATGTTTCGATTTTAAGATTTATTATTTATGTTTATGACAATATCTTATTTTCTTGTTTTCAGACTTCTGGAATCGGACGCGAAGTCCCTGAACTCCCTGACATCGGGACATTCTAGGAAGTCGTCCAGCACTAGCCTTGTATCGGTGGCTTCCGGTGACAGCAAACAGAGTGCCAATGCTGAAGAGGATGGTGAAGATGTCTGGCAAGTCTGGGGTTCCGTGGTCAACGAATGGGAAATGTATTTTAAGAAAAAGAATGGATTCGTAAAGGTATGTTATGGTTCTAATAAAGATAATTTTTCTTCTGGTTGCTATTAATTAAATGAGACATTTATATATTGGCCCTAAGCGGATGAGACACCTTTAAAATTTTTTCTAATTTCACTTTCAATAACTTATTTACGGTTTTACTCCTCTTTTTTGTTTGTTTGTTTCTGAATTGCAACTTAGTTATGCCTACTCTTAAGAAGAAAAAGGGAATACAGTAGGCGTCGCCTAAAGTGATTACGATTATCCTCGGTTATTTGGATAACATTAATCGAATGATAATATTAAACGAACGAAAAAGTATCCTACAAAATATCAATGGAATTTAACTAATTCAATGTAAAAATATCAAGAAACATACAACTAGGTATTTTCGCATAATTTTAACTAAGAAAAATGCAAAAGTTTGTTTATGAACTCTTTTTAATGCGAAAGTTCTTTTATAGTAGTTTTTTGGGGGGGGAGGGTCAGAGGGGCTTTTGAAAAAGACAGCTTGTGTCTGATCGCTCTCAAAATCGATAAAGTTATTTAGAATCTACGTCGAACAAAATTTTTTTCCCCCTTTCTAATTTTAAATATTTGACTGAAATCGTAACCAAGCTGTTTAACGATGTAACCCCTCATTTGGCGATATTTCTCTGTCACATGGCAATTTTAATTAGCTGTTTTGATTTTATTTGGCGATTTTAGCTTAAAAAAGTTTTCTTTAATATTTTGATCGTATTAATCGAATTATTGATCACAATAAGTAATGTATTTTCCGTGTTTTCGTATACAAATGGTTAGGACTTGGGCAAATCGATAACAATATTCGAATGATAGCATTGTAGAGACATTAGGTTATTTCGAAGCAGGAAACGTGAAAAATGAGCAGTGCCCTCGCCGTGACTTGAACCACGGACCTCTCGAATACGCGCCGAGTGTGCTGGCCATTACACCACGAAGGCATGCTAAGAAGGTGGGAAAAATACCTTATAACATTAACCTCATTACATTAAGCGGTATCTGTTGTATGTGTTAACTACTTCTGTTGTTAAATACAGTGATTTTACCCTTCAAGAGTTAAAATTACCTTAGCTTAGACACTTTATAAAGATAGCGCGCCCGAAAGTTGTCTGCCTTTACGGAAAAAAGATTGAAGTATGAAAAATGATTTTATTTATTTATGTTACTTGTGGAAAATCCTAGTAAAGTTTATGCTCCCAACCAGAGTCGCTCGAATAGTTTTTTTTATTTTTATTTATTTATTTATTTATTTTAACACTTGAGAAAACTTCGAAATTTATTCATAAATACTTTTTCAGGTATTGCTCATTTAATTTATTAAATTTAGTACTCCTAACTTATTATCTGAGGCAAATACTTTACTCGCCTTCTCTTAAAATGTTTCTGTGATCAAAAATCTGTTTGCTGGTTTTTGCTGGCAGTTAAGTTACATATACGTTCTCACTGTAGATTTAACCTTCGATCTTTGGTACCGAGTATCTAATACGAAATCGGAGTTATACCGTTAATATTTTTTACCATTAGCACATTTGTTGTCATTTTCCATTATTTCAGTTTTCACGTTTCGTAGCTCTTTTGCTTTTTGATGAAGAGGTGGTTCTCTTTGAAGTCTGACTATTGGTATGGGCTATTAAAAAAAAGCATGTAAGGTTTTACTTGATCTGGAACTAATGATCCTATCAGAAGTGAAACGAATAATCGCAATGTCTGAAGTAACTTCACCGATTTGCCACTGAGGCCGGTGTTACCATTGCAGCTCCAGACACCCCAACACGCTACAGTGCCAGAACAGCGAATGTTCTGGATTTCTTCCTTCTAAAAGGTTGTTATCACAGATCCATTCAAACCCTCACCGAGTTATCCTCTGACCATAATCCGGTCATGATACAGGTGGGGACTTCTGTTTGTAGCACACCACACAAAAAGGCCTTTATTACTAACTGGGCAGGATATGCCAAAGCCTTAAACAACACCACATTACACATTCCAACAGCCACCACGGGTGATGAGTTAGATGCTTTAGTCCAAGATTTTACTGCAAACTTGACAACTGCCTTGGATGCGAACAGCATACCAGTTACTCACCGGCACAAAGCAACTGATCCGGAGCTCAAGAAACTTATACAAGAAAGAAACGCTGCCAGAAAGATCTGGCAAAGGCATCGATTCCCGGCAGATAAAACCACTCTCAATAGACTGAATCATCTGGTCAGGACTCGAACCTACAACCATACACAACGCGACTGGACCAATTATCTCACGTCCCTCTCAGCGGATCCTAGCTCTGTTTGGAAGGCGACTGCTAAACTCAAGAGATGCTACACAACATTCCGCCCCTAAACGGCCAACAAAATATTGCCCTCACAGATATTGAGAAAGCTGAGTGAGTCACTAGCTGATCACTATGCTTCTCAATTCTGCACAAACAACATTTCTCACCCTCAAACAGAACACCTTGTTAACACCACACTCACAGAATTCCTTTCAAAACCACGCACGAACAACATCACTCCCGTCAGACCCTCGGAGGTCTATGGCTACATTGAAAAACTGATCATCAAGAAAAGCCCTGGCATTGACAAGATCTCTAACAAAATGATCAAGAACATGGGAACACTCATGATACTGAAGCTTACTTCTATCATCAATGCCATCCTAAGACTTGGACACTACCCAATGCCATGGAAGATTGCTATTATCGTACCATCCTTAAGCCTGGAAAGCCTCCTACAGAACCAGCCTCCTACAGACCAATCAGTCTTCTGTCCTCGCTCAGCAAGGTGGCAGAGCATATCATACTGACGAGAATCCAAGCCTACATGGATCTTAAAAATCTAATTATCCCTCAGCAACATGGCTTCAGGAAGAATCATTCCTCTGTCCACCAGCTGTACCGGGTGACAGACTACATCTCCAAAGGACTGCAGGAGCGGCAGACCACAGGTGCCATCTTCCTTGATGTAGCTAAGGCCTTCGATCGTGTTTGGCTGGAGGGCCTCATGCACAAAATCATCACTCTGGGTTTCCCAGATTACATCACAGCCATCACCTACTCCTATCTTAAGGATAGACACTTTGTCGTTCGTGTAAACAACACATACTCAACCACACGGGCTATCAGGGCTGGGGTCCCACAAGGGAGCCTCCTTGGGCCCATCTACTATAATATTTACACGAACGACATCCCACAAAAACACCACACACCACCCTGGCTATGTACGCTGACGACACGGCAATACTCTCAAAAAATGCATCTCCTGGTCCAGTTATACAAGCACTCCAATCTCACATCCACACACTCGAGTCCTGGCTTACTGCCTGGAAATTCAAAATCAACGTAGGACAAGTCGGAGGCGATCTGGTTTACAAAAAAGTACATATCGACTTGGAGGACTCCATCCTCATGTATAACACCCCTATTCAGTGGACTAGGCAAGCCCGATACCTAGGCATCACTTTAGATAGGCGGCTCACATGGACCCCACACATTACACAACTTATTGCCAAGTTCCGTGCTCGTAAACGAACACTTACCCCCTTAATTAGCCGGAACTCCGTTCTCTCTATTGATAATAAGTTGCTCATTTACAAGACCCTTTTGCGTCCCATACTTTCTTATGCCTGCCCTGTTTGGGGGGATATACCAGCAATACTAATATTAAACAAACTGCAAGTCTTGCAGAATGTTACTCTTAGACAATTTCCAGAAGCCGATGGTTTATTAGAAATACGGCAATTCATGAGGAGTTGGAAATACCAACAATCCCAAATTATTTTGCACTCCTCGCAGAAAAATTTTATGAAAATATTCCCAATGTTAATAATAACTCAATTATTGTACCTCATTATGACTATACACTTGATGTTAATAGCAAGCGCCCGCTTGCGATCCTAAGACATCTAAATTAACTCTGTTTTTCTTATAACCAAATTATGTAAACACCATTCCTTACTTGAGCTTTGTTTTGTTTTTATGATCTTATGAATTGATTTGTACTGCTGCCTGACTTGTATATAATGTACATAATTCCTACCTTATCTTTTATATGTTTTCCCTATTATGTATTATTTAAGTATCTCTGCATTATTATGTATTTATGTGTACCCAACTGTGTTAGTTATGAGTGGCCACACGGACGCTTGTTCGGACTAGCAATAGGAAATTTCTTCTTTACATGCCATTGCACACTTACTTCCGTCTAAAGGCTTATCAGTTCACTGGTGTTTCTTCTGGACTCTATCATCGGTTCGTGTATGAACTCTTATAGTGATCGAATTTTCAAGTCAATTGCTCGATGCACAACGAATCGAAAATCGCACGCATCTTATCCCGGGATAGCGTTGTCACGCGGGCGCCCACTTTGCGACAACTCATCGAGTTTGCCTGAGCCGAAGTAACATACAAACCATGAGAAGGATAAATAAACTTTTTATTTAAACAGAATCTAGAACATAAATGCATTTTCTTGTGCTAACAATATCAGCCACAATTCGTGGTGATGCAACTAATTCAAATTTAAAATGTGGAATAGTAGTCAGGGAGTGCACAACGTAAATATACTCAACTGGCTGAGTAATTATACCGCAGCGTCAAAACCAAATTGTTCGCAGAAAATATAACGTAAAGGCGAATAATAACAACTAGCAGAGGTGGCAGGAACTAAACTAATAACGTACGCGCGTTGCCAGAATCACTCTCTGTCTTAAGATCCCCAAACCTCAGTTTAAATACTAGCCAACTTATTTACATTCTGGTGAGGAATACGGAAAGGAGAAGTTAAAGTACAAATCCAAAATCACAGTGGGTTAGATTTAAATAATAATCTCACAAGCATATGAGGCTATGAGAAATTTCATTCTAGATTTGGCAGGTGGGGATGGAAATCTAGGATCTCATAATCTCATTTAATTTTTCCTCTGTAAAGAATTAAAGATATAATTCCATGTGCTTTTGCAATATAATAATCAACCTCGCAGACAGCTGGAAGATTTGTCCA